TCACTTTGGCTTTTATTGAGTTCCCTAGATAATAACTTCCTAGATATTAATAATTTTCAATTCTCATTGATATGTAGAACAAGTAGTATGGAAATTCCTATCTGAAATTATCATACTTTTTTATATTCAAGGAAATAAAGTCATCTATAATAGTTTAGTATCCCGATTGCCGTGGCAGTTACAATAATCTACAGGTGTGATAAAATGACATAGAACTATACACACATATTGTACCAATGTCAATTTCTTGGTTTTGATATTGTACTATAATTACATTATATGCAATCTTGGGGGAAATTAGATGAAGGGTATATGTGATCTCTATATGATAGTTATAAATTTCTGTAAATCTATGATTATTTCCAAAGAAAAAGTTTTAAAAATTAATTCATAACAGGGAAGCTTGGTACATATTTGCTTTAAAATAATAGTCATTTTGTATTTGTTCACATGCAATTTGTTTTTATTTTTGACTACTATTTTCGATTACTATTACTATTTGAATTTATCTTCAATTCTCAAAAGTTTTGTAAAAAAGCCAGCAGAACTTGAAATCCTGATCTAATGCATTTATACTTTATTCATGTATACGCTTATCCTTAACTATTCTCATAACGGCTGAATGATATAATGATAAAGTCATCAAGCATTTGGTCATTTGGGTTTTGCTGATCACCAACATTCTGTGATAACATTTCTCAGTTTCAACCTAGGCTAACTAGAGGTGGGATATTTAGTTTTCTTTATCTTCAGTTGTCTTCTAGCTAGCTAATATTACCCATATCTGCTAACCTTTAGTTGTGGCTCAGATCCCATATAGATTACTTTGATGGACTCATTGCCTTTTATGACTTATAGTTTTTCAAGGTGATATAAATTAGAATTTGAATTCTTTCAGCGGCATAATATAGTCTTCATCAGAATTGTCTGAAAGCTTTGAATTTGGTCATGAACTAAGACTGATGAAGTTAATATTTGTAATTAATAAGGAAATTATGTACATGTCTTGGTTTAAAGTTTACTTGGCAAAGAATTAAGTTACTTGGCAACTTACGTAGTGACTTATACCTAGAAAACAAGTGATAAGCTATTGTTGCTAGGTATATACAAAATATAAAACTTGAATTTAGACTGAAAGTCAACAGCTGTTGATAAGAAAATTATTATAAAAATGCTTATAAATTGTTATTGGAATATATTTGATCTATTCTATTGCTAAAAAAACAAATTTTAGAAATTACTAGATTGTGGCAGTTTAGAAATAATGAATACAGTGTATAATCTTTCAAATGTTTTGAATGTATACACACACACACATACATATATACACATACACACATACACACTTACACACACAAAGTACTTACTGGATAAAAAATCACTGCCGTCTTGCACAACAGGAAAAGAAAGTTGGCATTGACTTTATAACTACCGAGGAGCCATTGTGAATACCTTCACTCTATTTCTGATCATTCTACACAAGGAATCTCTCTCTGTCTCTCTCATTCTCTCTTACACACACACACATACACACACACACATACATCATACATGTACACACATGCACACATCTACCAGTCACTGACATTTCACCTAAACAGGTTACAGAAAAGAAAATATTTTAAAGAGCTCCTAAAGAAATTGTTTATTATAGCTAGAGTTTTTGTCCTACATACACAATAAGTAGATTCCAACTAGAATATTTAAAGACACTTTTATTTCATTTTATTTCATTTTATTTCTGGAGTTGCTGAAAGATTTCAGCCTTATTAATTATGCTTTCTGTGGAGTAAATACTATTCCCCCTTTTCTCACAAACTTTGAATCTAAAGCCTAGAGCTTTAGATCCACATCTGCCTACTGGAAACTTTCAGCAGTAAATGACTCTGTAATTTAACTACCCAGAAGCAAATAAATAGCCTCCCTTTGACAATGAAATGGAACAAGCTTGACCACCTGTATTAGCAGATTTCTCACTGAGCTATTGGATTTCAAGGCATTTTTTTCCTTTGTCCTGGTGATAACTATTATTTATTATCATATGAACCTGCAGTCTGCAGGGTGTGTGAAACTTGCACTATATATATATTTTTTGTCATTTAAGTATCTACTGAATTGCCTCCTGCATCCTCGTTCTTATCAATATTCTGCTATGCAGGTTGTGATGCCACATTTTAACAACTCTAGGATTTTAAAGCAAAAAAGTTGCAAATAATCTAGGTTCCTAGTAGCAACCTGGAGTGAACATGAAGCTTTCCAAGCGAATCGCTTTATTAAGCTAACTTATTCCAATGTGAGCATATGAAAAATTCAACTGATTTGTCAACTATGAGGAATTAAACAATAAAGCATTCAGTAAGTGATAATTGATTAATAATGTATAACCATTAACACAGACTAACATTTTCCGTGTACTTGCTATTCTGCCAAAAAGGATTTTTAGGGATCAAAGGATATGTTTCTTTTAGGGGAGCAGAGTTAAAATATTTTAGTAATACATAGTGGTTAAATGTATAGATTTGAAGAGATATAAACTTGGCTTTGAATCCTGGCTCCGATACCACCTGGCTCTGTGACCTTGGCTATGTTATTTAAATATCTCTGAGTGTCTCTAATAACAAATTTAGATTATGGGACTGCTATGAGAATTAATAAAAAAATACACAAAGAATTTAGCATAATGCTTAGATTATATTGTTTCAATAAATGTTAAGTATTCAATAAATGTTGTTATGCATTAAATTCACATTTGTTACTGAACCTTCTATAAATCCTAATGATGTTTTAAGTATTATGTTATTACAAAACAGTTTCTTGACAAAGATAAGAAATAATATCAATCAATAAACATTATTATCACCTGCTGAGTGCCAGACACTTTGCTAGGTGTTAAAGAATCAAGATGGAATAAAATTTCTTCCTTATTCTGAATTTTTAATATTTAGTCTATCTCCTGGGATTGCTATAGCTCTGGTTTAGAAATATTGGCTGTTACTCTTTTTGCCAACCTTAAGGTATTTAGAACAAAGTCATTGGCTGAGGAATATGTCTCTGTATGCTTAAAAAGAAGAGCTGAGAAACCAGCTAACAGCCTAACCCTGCAGGTGTTTGTTTAACTCATTAATAAGGAAGTCATAAACAGACAGTGTAGGGCAAATGCTTTGAGATACCATCAAAGTCAAGGCTGCTCTGCCATTCTTTATGAGTGTCTTTCATTCATACATATTTATGTGTGAGTTTATAAAGCTCCAGCTACTATATTTCCATTTTAACCAGAAAAAAGAAAAGGACAAAAGGCTGAAGGATCATTCTGGCTGATTCTGTCCTTTTAAAAGCTTTCTTAGGAACTTGCGGTTACATATTAATGGCCAAAACTGAGTCATGTGGTTTTCCCTTTAGCTGCAAGAGAGTCTCGGATGATGAATAATTTAGCAATCTTTGCCTCTAGCAGAGAAAATTAAGAATAGTTCACCTTTTTGGCTATCTGACATCAATAACACCATTCTTCCCATTTATACATTTTGGGTGGCATGCAGTCATTCTTTCCCCAAGGGAGCCTACCTCAAAAGCTCACTTTGTAATTATATCTGGTGATGCTATCATTTCCAGCAGGCGCAGACAGACACAGTGTCTCTTCACGGCTTAGCAACCAGCAACTTTAAAAGACAAACTATCTGTCTGAGTTCCCACAATGTAGAATGATAAGCAACAGGATACACGAGACTACTAAAGAGAAACAAATGGAAATCGCTGATTGCTAATACATGTCAAATCCTCTTGGGCAGTAATAGTATTCTAGCTTTGTCAGTGGAGTAATTTCTTTGTTTAACCTATTATATAACCTCTTTCTGTCATTCACAAGGATCCCCCTTGTCCATCATTCCCCATTGCCTCACTGAGGCCTCACTGGAGGTTGTACAGCTTTAGAAGCTGAGTTTTCTTGGATGTAAATTTGGAGGCTCTCCAATGGCTCTAGATATTGAATAGTTATCAATTATTACCAATAAGGCCTTGAACTATCTCAAGCTTAGCGAACCTCTTTCTTATTTGCTGTCTTTCAATTCTAAAAAGAAGTAAACAGAACATGTCTCTTTCTAGATGAGTTACCTGCTTCTCAGGGCCTTAAGAAAAGGTCTTATCAGGTCGACTACTAGGACTATCATTCTAATTACCAAAGTCGATTCACCACATTATAGGATATGTAGAATAAATCAAAGTTAAGTGATCACAAAAGAGACCACATGTCCAAGAGAATGTCAAGCATATCAGAGATAATATAAAAATATAATGTCAACAATGAGAATAATATAAAAATATCATGTCAACCATGGCAGAGAACCAGACTGAGACTAGAGGGAAGGAATTCTCTCCTGTAAATCAATGACCTCAATAGTAGTTCTCTTTGGAAAAAAAATTTGAAATGAGTGGATTTTTTTTCAGTTGATATTGGAAAAAAAAAAAGTGAAAAATTAGTAAAAATAGGAAAATTAATTCTGTAAATCAAATATGTATATGCACACAATTAATTTGAAAATACATCACC